ACCCTTTGCGCAGGCTTTATTCAACTCGTTCTTTAGACGCATTCCTCAAAATCCAGGATGGCCTAACAGGAGACTGTTTGGCCGGACCTTATCAGACTTGCGTTTTAAGCGCGAGACACATGCGCGAGAAAAACCGTCCGACCCGACGTCCGATCCGGCAGTACGACTGCCTGATCCGAAAAATTTGGTCGCTTCAGACGTCAGATCGGCGGTCCGGCGTGCGTCCAACGCGCCAGATAGTTTCGCACGGCGGACGGATTGTCGGAAGCGTCCAGCCAATGACGGCACAGCTAGCGCGAACGTCATGATGACGTACTGGGTCTGGCGGGACGAATAAGAAAACGGGAAGGGCGATGGGAAGCCGGACGCGTGGATCCCGCTGACCCATTCGAAAAAGATGGCACCGGCAAAGAATGCACGCGCTATCGAAAACGAGCTCCTAACTTCGCTCGTGCGAGCTAAACCGTCAATCTGGGACCAGAGATCTATGAACGCGGACCTCCGCTGGAGTGCTTGGATCGCCTGGGCGGAGCCGAACGGATCGTCCTGTCGCATGCAAGGTCGGAAGTGTGTGTTTCAAACTGTCAAGTGCGGCAATTCGGAGCGGCGTTCGGACTTTCGGATCGGACGTCGGATCGGAGGATTCTGCCGTCCATGTGTCTCGCGCTTTAGGCAGATTCCTCAAAATCCGGGCTGGGCTAGCCGGAGATTCTTTGCCCTAGCCGGAAGCTACTGTGTCCGAACTTATTCCGAGTGGCATTCTTGCCGGATTTGACAAACTTCAACTTCTTCAAGTCGGAAACTCGCTCTCCGGATTATTTCCAGGCTGAAATTAAGCTGGATTTCATATTCTGGGCTGATTTCAAGTAGTCTTTTTTTGGTAGGGTACCTCAATATAATTTATAGAAACCAAAGAAAACGTGATCGAGAAACAGATGTCAACCAGCTTGCCTATTGACCAACCAATTCTTGTATAAAGCGCGTTCTCAAAACCTTGAAGTTTGCCTAATTGCTATGATAAAATATATAAATTATATTTTATCATAGCAATTAGGCAAACTTCAAGGTTTTGAGAACGCGCTTTATACAAGAATTGGTTGGTCAATAGGCAAGCTGGTTGACATCTGTTTCTCGATCATGTCTTCTTTGGCAAACAAGTTCACGTATAGATAGAAACTTGCGGCTATTTTATTATTTTACGAAATATGAGCTCTTTTCTTAAACACTAACTAGTCATCCCTGTAAAACGTCATTCCATCGAGACTCTAAGCATGGCAATTTGCGGCTTAGTCCTCCGATTTAAGTATTTTAAGAAAAATGACTACTGTACGTTAGTCCTACGGTTAAGATCAGAATTATCCAGCGTGTTTCGAACTGCGCTGGGTTAGCGTGAGAGGGAAACACAGAGTCACGTGACTCCGTGACGTCCTAATGACGATCGTCACGCCTATGACGTCACTCGAACACCGTTCGCTAAAGTTGACGGGACGTGCAGTAAACTAAAACTTGGAGGGAATTCCTTGCAGGTTTTCTGTGACGGTTATTGTGCCGTGAGGGTTTTTGTGCCCTAAAGTTTTTTTTTTTTTTTTGCAAGCCGGGGCTCGCATTGCTTCTACATCATGCCAAAAGCAGTCTGCAAACAAGAGTCACCGCAAAATACGTGGTACGAATGCCGCGGGCCAAGTTTCTCCTTCAACTTGTTGCGGAATATGGCAGGAGAAGACAACGAAACCAGAAGACCGGAAACCGAGGTCCACGAGAGCCCCCGGGGACATTCTGCTCCAGATATCACTCGGAACCACTTCGTTATTTCATAGGTATAAAAGAAGTGATAATTGATGACCAGATGACTAAAGGCGAAGCACCTTCGCCTTTAGTGCACCGTCACGAGTTAAAACGAAACCTCCACGACAGGCGAAATCTCATATGTAAACATCCGTCTTCCAAATTAATAGACCGCCGATACGGAGGTATGGCTTGCTGAAGTAGAAAGCCAGTTTTCCACGTATCGCATCACATTACAAATCCGCGTGTTTTTTTTTTGTGTTTTTTTTTGTGTTTTTTTTTTTTTTTTTTCGGGTGGAAAAGCGGCGGCGGCGTAGTGGACTACGTCGCCGCCGCTAGCCAAAATCGCGACCGAAGTACGGGGCTTCGTCCTCGTTCCGCACCGAACGAACCTTACACCACCTTAAAGTTGGAACTGGTGAAGTGCACGTCCGAATCTGAAAATCGCCGCCTACACCAACAGTTAACGAGCGAAGAATTCAGTGACCGCAAAACTTTGCGGCTGCTCAGACGCCTCCAACAGCTCTTCGGTGAGAGGGCAGCATTATTCAACGCGTCACTTCTGAAGGAAATATTTCTTCAACGACCACCGACCGATGTGCGCATTTCGCTTGCCACGGCGCCAGACCTCCAGTTGCGCGCCCTGGCGCAGCTGGCAGGCTCCATTAAGGAGGTTGCCAAAGCGCTGGTAGCAGAGTTGCATCAATCGTAAGTTTCAACAAAACTATATCTTGATTTACCTGCAGCTGCCAACTCCTCCACAGAGAACATACTGAAAGATCGCGCAAATGAAACAAGGGCAAAATAGGGAGAAACACAGAACACAGAAAAGCACGTACTCACAACTCTAGGAAGGAGCACAACATAGGCGCGTACCCACGCAACAACAGGCGCGTACTCACAACAATAGGTAGGAACACAGCACAGACAGGCGCGTACTCACAACTATGAAGAAGGAAAGATGGAGAAAGATTCATTCATGACAAGGGGGAATAAAGTTCAGTCACAGTCAAATGATCGCGAAAGGCAATTTTTTTTTTCGCTCAAAGCAACCGACGGCTGACTAACGCAGCGATCGACCAAACTCAAGATGGTAAACGGACATTTTCAAGTCATGGAAAGATGAGACAAGAATTCTGTCGTGGGCTTATTTAGCCCAACAGGCACAGTACGTTTTGGACTACCTAAGTCCACGACAAAATAAACGGGGCTTGGTGGTTGTTGACAAGTGGGCAGGTTTAAGTCGGTCAACAGACACGGTACCTCTTGACCGACTAAACGTGCCCACTTGTGAACAACCACCAAGTCCCGTCCATTTCGTCATATTTCTGCTCGCCAACTGTCTGCATTTCCTCGGCCCAGCACTACACAAGTACCGCCGTCGTCAAGTCACATGGGCTACGCCTCTCTGCCGCCTACTTTCCTAGGAGGGGAGCTCCTGTAGCGGCCTATGGCCTATAGGCCGCTACGAAACCGGAAGACTGGAGCTCGTGACTCACGAGAGCTCAAGTGGATATTCCGCTCCAGATATCATTCGGAACCACTTGGTTATTTTATAAGCATTAAACAAGTTAAAAACTCATTGCCAGGCGGCATTCGAAGTACGAGTCTCGCGGTGAGTCGTGTCCGAATTTGTATGCAGACTGTTTTTTTTATGATGTACAAGCAGTTGCACATCATACAGCTTCCGATGTCACGCCACACTTAAAACTGGGAGCGATTATTTGCCTCAAACTGAGAGGGTTTCTTGCAGCGAGAGCAACAAGCGCAAGCTATCGGTGGCCATCTCCGTCATGGGCCTGCCCCGACTAATCCTTCTGGACGAGCCCACGGCTGGAACGGACGCGGAGTCCCGCAGAGCCGTGCTCAGCCTCCTGGAGGCCGTCAAGCGCTGCTCTGACACCACCCTAGTCCTCTCGTGCCAGAGGCGAGTGGCACTCCCTCGGCTGCGTATAGTGGTTTCCTAACACACTAAAGCAATCTGGCGAATCTGGGGCGCCTGATTGGCATTTTTTTAAGCACTTCACAAATGAGCCGTCGCCGGAAACTAGACACACGTGACGGAGGCCTTCTTTTCTGATTCCTCACTATACCCGGGTGTATGTGGTAGAGAGGAGGACGAGGAGGGGCTCGAGGCTTAGGTGCACATCCGCCTTTGTTTCACGTGTACACCGATGTCGCCTCGGATGCCTTCTCGCAGATTCGCTTACGTTCGCACGGGTTGACGTTTATATGCTTCAACACGCGGTGTTGGTTTTTTAGTCTTCAAAATTGTTGTTTACCGCCAATAACCCCAGCCATCGTTTCGCCGCCGTCCCCGGTAGTCGTCATGGTACGTCATAGCCAACACTGCTCGATTCACTGCCACCAGCAGTAATTTCGTGTTTGTCCCACGTAAGAAACGAACACAAGGTCTTATTTAGATTCCGTTATTATGCCTTAAAAGCGGGGACTCAACTCTTAGCTTGCGTATTGCGGAGGCTTGATCTGCCCGGCTTGTTCAAGGCGTGAAGTTCAGAAAAAAAAATCGGCTTTAGTGACTTTGAGACGTTTCCTTCTGTGTCTGTTCCTTCGACTATCAGTTTTTTTCTTCTGCACCATAGTCTCAGGTGTTACACGGCATGATTTTAATGACTTGCCATGAGGTTTCATTTGCGCTCTTCGTACGAGCTTCTCCGTAAAAACACGCTTCGGCCGGAAACCTTGTTCACTTGTTTAAAGAAACAAATACCGCGCGTCTGCGTGTCTCGTCAATTACGTTATGGTGAGTACAAAAAAAAAAAGTGGTAACATCAAGCGATCAAGTGCGGCACAGCCTGCATTCAGTAAACAGCACCACCTTACAACACCGGGAATGAAGAGAAGACGCCAACAAAAAGTGGCCGATTGGGCAATTTATTGTAAATGTTCACCTTGAATGGAAAGATATTGTTTTATAATTTAGATATCTTTCCCGCTCCGTTTTATTAGGAATCTAATTTTCAACGAATTATCCGTTCTATGCCGTCCTGGCACTGCTGCCAGCTTACAGATGGTACCATGGAAATAGGCACACATAAGAGTGTACAACCGCTCTTGGTCCATATAGGAGTGGCAAGCGATCACCACAGCTCTCCTTCTCGGCCGCCATAATGGTGTCCACGAGCTACTTTCGAATTGCGTTTTCATTAATCTGGCCTTCGATTCTTTCATTTCCGGCGTGTACTGGAGCGCAGCCTGGCGGATTGCGAGCGGATGTGCGATCGGATCGGCATCCTATCGGACGGCCAGCTCAGGTGCCTGGGCTCGCTGCAGCATCTGCGGGACCGGTTCGCACGAGGACACAGGCTGGCTGTCAAGCTGCCCCGCAGGAAGGGGACGGCCCCGAAGGACCTCAGGGACGCCGTCGAGGCCACGTTCCCCGGAGCCAAGCTGAGGAGCTACCGCCGGGTGAGCTCACGCCTTTGCCGCTTGGCTTCCGAATTTGGTCGAGTAGATCTGAGTCCGCTGGCCTTAAAACGAGATGTTACCGATAGAGCGGGCGCGAGTAGGATTGCAAACGTCAGGAGAAAATACCTTTATTCTGCAGTGAGTTCGAGTAAACTGGACTAGTTCCCGCACTCGATGACCAAGGTTGATGGTTCTCAATGTGAAGGAAGGCTTGGTAACTTTCCATTATGTTTTGGCGATAAGATACCGAGTCCCATATCTGTCCGAACAATAAATGGTGATGTTATTTTTCTTCTGCTTGTATTTATATAATACGAATCGATAGATAGACGTTGTACGAAGGTTTTTTTTTAACGCGTTCGCATTAACCATGCAAGGACGCGGCGGTTTATGCAGCCGCGTCTTTGGTTTGGACTGGAATGGTTTGGAGCACTTTCGTTCCGTTCGTTCACCTGTTACGTCAACTTTCCCTCTTACGTAAGACGGAAAAAGTCTTCTCGCACACTTCCAATGACTAGCCGCTGTTTACGCGCTCTCGTTTCAAAGATATGGCGGCTGCATTCGAAACCGCCGACACCCGGGAGGAGTCTTACCGAAAACCACAGTACGCGGACCGTTGGCGGCGATCAAAGGAAGGTGTGGTGGGTGCATTCAAAAGCGCCAAGGCCGAGAGAACAAACTGGCTCTACGAAGACAACAAACACCTTAGCGAAATGCTAACGCATTTCGCCGAGAATCGGGGTAGCGATAGCAGCGATTTCCGCGTAATTTTGGACGGGTTGGCATTTATTGTCCTGGTGCATGCAGCCGTCTTTCGTTTGGAAGGTCGTGATTTGGTTTACACTTTACTGGGCTGAACTCAACCGGTTTCGTGAAGACGCGACGCGGTAGCTATGGCGTGCCCCAACTGGCACATTTATGAAGGCTTCTCCTTTCTAGGTCCACTTCGAAAGACGTGTCCAGAGGTTAGCTCAAGTGCGCTGCGTTGACTATCTCGAATAAAAACATACGTTTGCACCTGTATCTAAAAGAGTGGCCACTAGGGTCCCTAGAACATTCACACAGTCGTACGAGGCTCAAGCGATTTGGGTGTAGGTTCGATTCCACTAACAGCTGGGATGAGCGCTGCCGGTTTTTCGGTTAGGGAGGGTGTTCCTAACCCCGTCGCCTAGTGCGAGTCGATGGGCCCCCGGCTATCTAGAGCGACTATCCTTGGTGTTCACAAATTCAAACCGGCTGTGACCCTTGGGATCGGAAAGGAATCTGGAGGGCCGGCGTTTGGTTGAATGGGAGTCGCATTAGGGTTAAACTGAAATGCAATTGCTCCGGGTAGCTTATGACCGACAACAGTGTAAGCTGGAAACCCGGGGATCAATGCAAAAACAGACAAACCATGAGTCTCATGACCGAGAACAGTGTTAGTTAGCCGCCCGGGGATCGATACAGAAGCAGACAGGCCGTGAGTATCATGGCCGAGAACAGTGTGAGCTGGCCGCCCGGGGATTAATGCAAAAGCAGACACGCAGGGAGTCTCATGACCAAGAAAAACTGATGAAAGGCAACCGAGAATCGACAGAAAAGCGTCAGTCCCCGGAGTCCGCGTGAGCCTCCGGGAGGCCCAGAGGCGGCTGCGACGGCTCGATCTTGTGGATCGTGCTTTCGGCGCAGCGCAGAGTAGAAATCTCTTACCACCGCCGGCTGTAGCCGTTTCCCTGTGTATGAGGCGGGCGGCGCTCTTCGCTGCAGTCCCGGTGTCCTGGCTGGCCGCATCGGAAGCAACGGGCTGTCCCGTCTGCTTCGTGCGGTGTCCCAAGCTCTGCGTCACCGGGCCAGAGGCCAGGGTTTCATCTTGACTGCTGGAGGGGTTGTAACGTTGTGAATGTGTGCCCTCATAACCGTTGCGTCTGCGTGTTTTGTATACATGGGGATCAAGAACACGGGGGACAGACGCCTAGTAGGATTCGCCTGGCTCTCTTCTGACTTTATGTACACGTGAGTTTCCAGACCATGCAAATGATGGTTCCTGGGTCATGTTATGCAGAAAACGGGGGCGGTATCTCAGTTCCGCGGTGATGTCGGCCTGGATGGTAGTTGCCTCCCGGGCCATCTCGTTCAAGTTCTTTAAGATGCGCCTCCTGAGATGGGGGATAGAAACGCGGGTAGCTTTGGCGGATGGCGTGTTCGACGTTCGCCGCGTCTGGTGCAGTGACGTTGGCGATGTCGTACAGCCCTTGGAGAGCTCTTACGAACTCGATGAGTGACTTTTCCGGGTGCTATCTGTGCGCGCGCAGCTCGTCTTTGATCCGCGTACTTTCATCCAGAGGAAGAAACTCCGTCCTGAATCGCGCTACGAAATCTGACGTACTTGTGAATTTGGTTTATATTTGTCTCGACAGTGATGCCTTGTCTCTCAGTGCAACCGGCAGAAGGCAGTCGAGCGATACCTCGTCTTCTCTTCCCGACACTGCTTTATAGTCTTGCATCTCGGAGGTGAACGTTGTCACCGACTTCTCCGGGAAGCCTGCATACTTCGGAATAGTAAGCGAGAGCCACAAATGGTCCTTGGGAGGTGGAATGGTTGTCACAGGAGGGAGGCTTATAGCGAGTTCGTTTCTCGGCACTCGTGTCCACGCGTGCCCACTCGCAGCGTGGAGTGGGTTCCTTTCAGCCGGAACTCCACGAGTGGTTGCACTCTCCGAGTTCGTTTCAGCGCTGGCACCCCACGCGTGCATGCACCCGCTGCACCGAGATAATCGGGAGTGTGCCAAAATGCAATCCCGTCATGCCTCGCTCCAGCGAGGAGCAGGAGCAGACGACGAGGGTTCGTCTGCTACGATGTGTCGCGGAATCGAAAGGGGAACAAGTCGATTTTCTGATAGAAATCGCGTCCCGCGGGCAACAGAATCAAACGCGAGCTTGAATTGTGAGCATCTGCTATATCATGAAGGAAGCAATTGACAAACCGTGCTTTATTTGCGGGTTTTAAGTCGCGCTGTTGCCGTACTGACGCTGAAATATACCAGTGTGTAAGGAAATGCTCAGAACAAATGCATCGGCGGTCCCCTAGATGTTTATCACCATCTGTGTGCGGGTGAAAAATTTAACATGTGTCGACAAAACTCTCCCAGCAGAAACCTGTGACTACCCAATAAGCATCAGAGAAAGCTAAACGGAGTGACTTTACCCGAGGCTTATGCAACATCATCATGTTCACCATTTACCTACGTCAGCTAACTTGACCCGTCATATTTTGCTCGAGAAAGCTCTCGTTCTCGACGCCCTCAGCAAGGCTAATATCTGATCCACCTGTAATGACGATCGAAAACGGAAAGTCCCTTTCGAAAAGTTTTGCTGGATATTCCAACAGACTAGTTTTAAGCCGTACCCCTTCAATGGCTGACGCATAATACCATGCTCAGACGGATCAAGCTTCTGCTCGGACAGCATCATCAGTTTTCTTCAGTGTAAGCGGTTATAAAGAGATCGCAACCAGCTGCTTTGTAGACAGCTGGTGGCGGAAATTTACGTCGTCTGTATTTATCTCTACGACAGCCGAATCGCTTGAAATCATCGCAACTATAAACTACAGGTTGCAGCGACCAACGTTTGTAGGTAAACGTTGGTAGCGACTGCACTCTGGCATTCTTACCCATCACTCCGAACAGAAAGGTGCTAGTTTCGGTTTGAGGTTGGTACCTTTTCTACAACATAGATGGCGGCAGCATCAGTCTTCTGCACTCAGTGCATTTGGCGTGTTCGTTTGAGTCCAGTTTTCCGTGCAACACTCTGCTAGTGCATGCATTCTGGGAGAGAACTCGAACGGTGCCAGTGCGTGTGAAACGAACTCGCTATTAGGTGAAGCATCTGGTCCTGTTGACACTGAAGCAGGAAGGTCATGAGAGATCTCAACTCGTCGACAGTATACCGTTGCGCTGCGTCTGCCGATCCTGCCACTGGTAGCGAGGTCTGTGCACCATGTTCGTCAGTGCTGGCAGGTTTTAGCAGCTTCGCCGAGGGGTATATTGTCTTCGTCGTTGCTGAGATCATCCGTGAACAAGCCCTTCAAATCGTGCTGTGGAAGTCTCTTTCTGCCGAAAGTGCGACACTTCTCAACAGCTAGTTCTCCGCGTGGAATCGGTGAAATGAAAAGCAAAAATTTAACAGAAAGGAGGCCTGTTGTTAGATAACATCTTCGGTATGCAAGCGCACAAGCCGCACGCAGCACATGCAATATTGTACTGCCTGAACAAATCACCCTAGCCGAACACAAGCGTGAGAACCCAGACCAAATAAGAAAAATAAAAAGAATAAGTAGAAACAAATGGAGAACCGCGCAATCATTCTTCAAAAGTGGCAATATCATATCACCTCGACAAGAAATCGACAAATCGATAACGAGGGTCAAGAAACAGTCACGCGGAAACGCGTGCACTTGTCAGAGGGAGTGGAGCAGGTCACCAATAATCCTGACCAAAATAATCTCCAATAAGACATTTTATTTGTTTTCTTTAAACGGCAATTATGAGCAGCCTGTATCCTTCCCCGTGCTGTGCGTAGCAGAATCGTCGCCGGCTTATGCACCGATAATCCCCATCGCCTCCTAGAGTGCGTGAACGCGAGCACATGCAAGCACGAGACGAACAGTGAAAAAGTACGCATTTACCTTCCGGAGTCAGCCGCACGAACCAGGCCCACCGCCAATGTAGCTTTTCTCCACACCTCGGATGCCCCGGATTCTCCATGTTGAATTAACCTGAGACTGGGGTAGAGATTTTTTCCCGGGTTCTCGTCCATGCGGTCCACCCCGGAACTACACGCAGTGAACAAGCAAGGATTTCTGACGTCCTTTTTAATCCCACGTCTCCAGTCGAATCCCCCGCAGAGCTTCCCCCTGCCGTCGCGTGGTGCTGCCGTCGGGCATCTCGCCCTCTGCCGGAGCAGCGAGGCGGCAGCTGCCACAGCCTTCACGGCTGTGTTCACCGGATCAATGACGAGGCACC